GCCGCTGCCATTGTTATCTCGATCGGTAGACTTGACGGCCGGCGCAGTGCTTTTGAGATCAGCTCATCTCACCCTATTGTCTTAGGACTATAAATTGCAAAAAAAAAATAAAACGATTACAACCAGCTGGTCCGACCCGACGTCGTTGCCCTGTACCGTGTCTGGATTCGAACGATTATTTATTTTTTTCAATCCACGCGCGACCATTTTTATATTGTTATTATATTTGCAGTGAATGTGAAGACGTCGACGGTCGTGCTAGCGGCACACGTCGCGAGTTATACGATATTATTATTGTCCGCCGACTACTGTCGTATAGGTAGGTCCCACACATATATATATATTATTATTATTATTATTATTATTATTAAAATATCTCTCCGACCTTGGACATTATACGCACTGCAGTACTCACCTGTGACGCAGGCAGAGGCAGGACGTGCTCGTGAACGACGAATTCAAATATTTTGCAATAGAGTTTTTAGTTGGGGGAAAAAAAGACCATTACAAATGGGTCGGAGATGAGAAGAAGAAAAAAACATAAAAACGACGCCCGCGACTCCTACATCACGGATGATCATTTATAGTGATAATTGTGTTACTCCGTAGTGAAACGTATATGTATAATATGATATATTACATAGACGACTCTGTACGAATAGAATGAATGAGAGACTACACGTCATTATGTCTAGTTAGTAACGCCAACGTATTATTTCGTCTGTAGTAGTCGTGTGGTATGCATACCATGTACCCATACCTAGGTACGGACCAAAACGATTTCGTTGCAAACTGACCTTTGAAAACACGCTCACAGGAATTATTACACTCGATGTGTAATATTAATTTTAATAATGTGTATTATACCCTGTCGCCGAACAGCATTCCGACGAGATACCCGCAGCTGTACTTAAACACCGTCAAGCGGTTTCAAAACGGAAACGGATATTATTATAATGTCGGAAGGTGCCTATATAGAGGTACCTATTAGACGTGGCGCCGGGATTTCGACGACCTTGGAACGTTCCGGCGTCTAATGAAACGTTTGGTTTTTCGGAAAAACAAGACCAGGCCAGCAGGAGAAGCCGACCAGAGCCGAAAGTGAATATTTTCTAATAACCGAGCGCGGTATACCGAGAGAACGTTAGGTGCCTGTACATATTTTATTGACTTGCATACACCCAAGTACAATCCGAAACGACTCGACGTTATCGTTGGACGTTTTGAAAACACGCTAATAGGTATTATAATATACTTACCATAATATAACACCAGTTTTAATAATATGATTAAACCCCGTGGCCAAAACGCATTCCGACGAAACACCTATATACTTAATCACCCGCACACGCGAGAACGGATTTAATGTCGGACGGTATAGGGAGGCACCCAAACGCGGCGCCGGAGTTTTGACGACCTTGGAACGTTCGGGCGTCTAATGAAACGTTTTGTTCTTCGGGAAAACAAGGTCGGACCGACCGACTCCGACGAGAGACCGTCGTAAGACCGAAAGTGAATTTCTAATAACCGAGCGCGGTATACCGAGAGAACGTGTATTTAGGTACCTGCATATTTTATTACATGTACCTAGGTATACCTACCCATAGCCGCGTGTTATTATTCTTAAGTTTATAAACGTCGGAGCATAATATGTGTGCTATATACAGCCGCGGGGCACCACGTGCGATGGGTGAGCGTATCTATGGAAATCGTTTGAATTCCGCGATGAGATGCTTGAAATAAAATTCCGAGCGAAAGCCAATACGCGCGCCTACAATATTATCGTCGGTCGCACACAAGTCCGGGAGAGTTAATGATAATTTTTAACTCAGTTAAGTCAAGTCGATGGAAAACATTTTAAAACTTTAAAGTTAATAGTTATTCTAATTTTTTTTTTAAAGCCACTTAAAAACTTATTATTAACTCATTAACTTAAAGTCAATGCATTTGTTTTTTAAATATATTATAAGCATATAATCGTATGGTTTAAAATAACAAAAAGTAATTGTTTACGCAATATACATCATCAATAATAATTTTATTATATTTATTATTTAATTATTTATAAATGAACAAAATTGGATTTGATTAAAAGTAACTCATTATTTATTTTAAGTTTATATCAATAAAAATCAGTTACGTTAAGTTAAAAATTAAGTTGATGGAAATTAAATTTTAAAAATTTACGTTAAAATCAACTTAACTTTTAACTTAACTTTAAATGTTTAACTCGTCTATGCCCTTAGACTTGGCGCTCGCACCGGTGTACTATTATCATTACGATAATGATAACGCACTGTAGCGGAGTGATAGAAAAAAAGAAGAATAAAACAGCAATAACAGTAATATATTATTCAAAACAATAATATGGGAACGACGACGACGACGACGACGACTAGTTGTGCGCAAAACGTATTATTTGATAACACAATGTTTTACTTTCTTTTTCCTCTCCTCCGAATTTACACTTCTCCTCGTCGTCGCCCTACCCACACGATCGCGAATGTAAAATATTATGCGCTCGTGATCTCTGTCTACTCCGACGTTTCGGCGAGATCGGATATCCGCCGCCGCAGAGTGCGATCGAGCACAGCAAAGACCTTAGATACATACTAGAAAACTGCCATTCCCGCGAACATAATAATATCATGTGTATACAATTATTTTATATTATTATTAGCTATTTTGCTGGTGTTGGACTCTTTTTTTTTTAAATCGTTCGTTGTATTAACCTATATAATATTTGATGAAATATAATCGTATACCACTGCACAATGGCCGCGTCTGCGAACGCCGTCGTGGGCAAACAATGCGCGTTGGCCGTCCAATAGAATATTATTATTATTGTTATTATTTTCTACCTATTTAGAAAATGGGAAAATATATCAACTCTATATGTGGGAAACGAATTGACCGTCCATGACATCGCATCGTCAACACAATATCAGCTATTATTTTAATAATGCACATGCACAATATTTGTACGAACCAGTGACCATCGATCGGTACCTATAATTGTGGTTTCGTCCAAACTTAAGGGGGCGGGGGCGGCAAAATTAGTATCGCAGCACGAAAAATCAATACAACCGAAGAACATTATATTTCATCAAATAGAACAAAAATAATGGCTGTAAATGCCCGTTCACGCGTTGTCTATAAAAAATAACATTGGACGACTTAAAATGCAGAAGCCATTAAATCAAAATTAATTTTTAAAAGAAGTTTTGTAATCGCATTGAATAATACAATATTAATGTTGTTGACTATTTGCACCAATGAATAAATTCGACGAAAACGAGACAGCGCATTTAATCGACCATGAATTTGTATTTCAAAACGAATTTGTCACTTCTTGGTTAAAAAAAAAAATATTTGCATTTGTCTCCATTTTTTAATTAGCCGATTACGTACGAAAAACATTTAATACATAACATATTATATTATATTGTTATAACCAAAATCATATAAAAAAAAAGTGAATAGACAAAAATAAAAAACTACAAAACTATATACATTAATATTAATGATCAAATCAACAATTACCATACAATTGGTAGGAAAAAAATGTAATTAATATCATAATTTTTTTACAATTTAAAGAAATAACACACATTTGTTAAATATTACTTAGTAAAACCGTTGAAATACATTAAATGTAAGCGTTTCCGTTACATGCAAGTACGATTCTGTAAAAATATTAAACTTCATAACTATAAACGAAGTTTTAAGTGTTAGAACATGATCACAATAATATGAGTTGTAATTAAATAAACGTTTAAACATTAAAGAAAGTGATCATAATAAATTATACTGTATTATTGTCGATGATGTAGTTAAATATTTTTTATTATTTTTTTTTAAGACGCGGTTTTATATGTAAAGTGCAATAAACCAACGAAAACATATCAAATTTAAAACAAATCTACAGAATCGAATAAAATATTTTGTGGCATAATTTCATAGTACAATAATTAAAAAATTATTCGGGCAACTATGATTTTATTTTATCGTATTTACAAAAAATAATCACACAGACTTCATAAATATAATTAAAATCATTTACAATAATTTAACGAAAACATAGGTATAATACGTAAATATAATTGTGTAAATGAATATTGTAATCATTAAAAATGTACATATTTGAATAGAAGTTTTTTTTATGAAAAAATAGTTTGAATAAAAGTCTCAGTAATTCTAATATCACCATTAATGAGGAAATGAAATATTTTCAACTATTTGCCTATTGGTTATGTTATTTATGGAATTTATTATATTCCTGATATTTGATAATACGTAATTTTAAGGAAATAAAATAATTAATAATATTGCACACCAATTTCGTTATTCATGTTAAAAAATTGTATTTAATTATTTATGTTATATTATTGTTTTTTTCTCGTTTTAACAGGTAGCCAAACAATTTTTTAATATAAGATTTGTTCAGTATTAATTTTCACACGGGAATTACGCCTATTTAATATTAACTTAGGTCTGAGCAAACGTTATTTATTCGCATGCAAAATTATGTCAAGAAATATTATAAGAAAAAAATAATAATAATATATACCTTCGTTACTTTAAATATTGAACATATATTATATATTTTATGTCGAGTTTCAAAAAAATCACCGCATTGTATGGCCATGTAATAGCATTTTATAATGATTTATAAATATTTTTTTATTTTTATTTTTATTGGCGACAGCATATTATGGACACATAATAATATTATTATTATATTATACAAAAAACCCTCCCGACGTTTCCACAATCAAGAACAGTCACAAACTTTGCAGCCTAGCGTTAAAGTCTCAGGCGTACCACGTAGGATAATATTATACTCGTGGATAACGCCTAGACGTTGAAAAAAAAAAAACAAAGGCAGAAGGGTGAAAAAAAATTAAAATTCCAAAACCCGTTTTTCAGTGTACAATATGTTGTCTTACGACGAAGACGTCTCCAGAAAAAAAAATTCCCAATAGGTATTGTGCCTTTACCTGATATTTATTCGATGGTTGGTCGTGGGGGATCACTTGGGCCCTGGTCGTCGTCCTTCTTCTCTTCGGGGGGAAAAATCGGTTCGGTCCCGGTGGTCCCGATGTGCGGGCGTGCGCAGTGAGTGAAGCGAGATGATAATATTATTAATACCAATAATATTATCGATGCGATTTAGTGTGTGCAAAAAAATTGATTCCGTTCGGACGGACGGGCGTCGGACTTGTGTGACTGTGTGTGGCGAGTGTACACGCGCGGGTAATGTCTAAATGGTGACTGCACAAGAAATTAAACCTCCGCCGTCGACGTCCGTTCATTTCGCCGGGCGAACGTGTGCTCTCGCCGCCGCCGCCGCCGCCGCCGTCCTTACCACCGACCGGTCGTCTCGTGCGACGATAACGACCACTTGTAGCAGCGGCGTTAACATCTCCGGGAAAAACCAACGGTTTTCGCCGTTTACCCGGTAATCGGTTACGATATCGGTAATCGGCAAGTACCTACCTATGTGTATATATATTCGATGATTTTCTTTTCGACCATTTTTCGCCACGTGCAGTTTAATATATTCTATTATTTCCGTTACGTTTCGTTTCGCGTAGTGTACCGCCGCAAAGCGACGATTGCGTTATAGATCGATTTTACGAAATTATTCGCACTGGAGCACAATTCCGAGGTCGGAGACTAAACGCTGTAGCTCGTTGTCTTCAACATAATAAGTCAAGTGCTCCACACGAAACATGTTTTAGTAGAATTGGACAAGCCCGGGCGTTGACGAGTAAAAAAGTTTAAGTTATATCAATTTAGAATTTTTAACTCCACTTTTTGAAATTCAAATGCCATGGACTTGATTTTTGTCACTTCTGATTTTTATCGATACAGACTTGATAAATGACTATAGTTACTTTTAATTAAGACCTAATTACGCAGTTAATTTATAAATAATTAAATAATCTATATTTTTGAATTAATAATTAAACCGTAAGTTCCCATATAACTTTTAACTTCACTGAGTTAAAAAAAAAAATTAGGATAACTTTTAACTTTTTTAAAAATGTTTCTATCAATTTGACTTAATCGAATTAAAAATAATTATCATTAACTTCTCCAGGCTTGAATTATTCGACTACTGGCTGTGGATAAAGTGTCCGATAATTTGACGCTAATCCGAGAATAATAATTATTATGATATTAATTATAATTGTATAAATATAGGTACAAATAACGCGTCATTGTGATGGGCAAATTAATAATCATAAATAACGTCCGATTTGCTTACGACATAAAAATAATAATATTATAATCACAAGACCTGCAACAGTTGAGTATTTTCGTACGCACGTATTGAACAAATTTAAATAAATCATAATTCAGATGGAAATATATTTTGTCATGATAATGTAATGGACTTACAGCATGTCCAAACGCTTTAAATATTATTATTGTATATGCAAAAGAAACACTTTATTATTATTGTGATGGCTACAATGCGGCTTAATGTTTTATTTTAAGTAAATTTTCTTGTACACAACCTGCAATATCGCGTAATATATTATTTTGTGTAAAAAAAAAAATTCACGAATTATAATATTTGTATAGTTTAAAATTTATTACAACTATCTGTGGTTCGCGATACCTACCATATTTGCATATTTGAAATTTGAATACGAAGAAGAATGATATGCCAAACGCGTTGTCTAGAAACACAGCACGTACAAAAAAAAAAAAAATATTGAATTAATCAATTAAACCAAAGACGTCCCGAGTGACAAATTGAAATGTACATGACGTGTCATAAATACATAATATACTTACGAGATATTATATTTAATTGTGCGTAATATTGTTGGCAGTCGTGGTAATTATATTACAGTGGAGATCTTTTCGTAAGCACATGAAAATATTTCACATTCTGCTGTTGGTAAAACGTAAGTCGTTGTGCTAATAGCTTAATAGTAGGTTCTAATGATGTGCAGCGTGTGATCTTGGAACTACCTACTGCCAGATGTGATTAAGACGATTTTTCTCATCGAATGAGAACATTTTAGTAACTTAAAAAACTGTAGACAACGAACGTACAAAATGCTATCAAAAATATATTTATTCAAAAAATTAACGTCGAGTAAATTTTTAAAAAAATATTGTAAAAATATTGTCATAGTAATTAAATCATAGTGGAGATCTTTTCGGTAAGCTCGTTAAAATATTTGACGTTCTATAGTCGGTAAGACTTGAGTTGTTGTGTTACTAGTTTAATAGTAGGATTCTAATGATCTGCAGAATGGTGTATCAAATGGGGGCATTTACGTAAAAAAATTAAAAACTGTCAACAACGAAATTACAAAACGCAAATAATACGTTTTCAGTTTAAATTTTTGATACAACAATAATAATTTGTCGGTGCTTTTATACAGTCGATTGTACGAACGTCGTCAAACATGTCAAGTCAAACGTGGCTATAATTTATACTACGCGACACTCATTAGTCATATTATTAGACGTCCGAGAAGATCCAATAAATCATAATTAATATCTAGCGACTTATCATGGGTACCTACTCGAGCAGGAAATTTTTTTTCAATTTATTAACTACACTGCTATATTATATACACCGGTTGTGTTTTCAAGGTCCGCAATATCATACTATAATAGTCGACGAATTCACTGCAACAATCAAAACCGTAATTTCGGTGTTCAATTTATAGGAATTCGAACAATAGGAAAAAAATAAGCAAAACGCATTAGCAATAAATAAACAGTTTGGTAAGAAAACATTTTGTGGCTTCGCAATCCACTGCAGCGGTGTTGTACATTAAGAATAAAAAATGTATATTATACGCCCGCAGTTTTTATTTGCCTATAGCTGTTTTTTATGCGTGTGTATTACTGTAATTTTTTAATTCAACTCGACGAACGTGAATGAGTTAACGGTTGAGTAAAGATGATTACAATTTTGATTGTGTTAAATGTTTCGAAATTAAGCTAAACGTGCGGTTTTTAACATTTATCAAATGCACTGCTCCCGAGTCGTGCGAAATTGTCAGAGAGACGACGACGATGAGTTTTACTTTTAAATGTTTATGTGACAAACAGCGCTGACGAGACGTGTCGACTAGCTATTATATGGCCCGCAAGTAGGTAATATTTATAATATTTTTATTTTATTGCATTTGAAACAATTGTGTAAGAAATACAAATACCTATGTTAAAAATATTATAATAATATGTCTAAAGGTTTATGGTGTGATGAAATATAGAAATTATTTTTCCGTTTGTTTGCAGGTTTTACATTCGCTTAATTAGTCAGAGGCTTAAAATGCTTAAAATGCAGTAGAATGTGTGTACATTATTTTACAAAATATTAATTTGAAATGGGAGCACTTTTCCTCCCCCCCCCCCTCTTTAAGCTATAAGCTTGTGTCGGGGGTACGGTTCTTACGAATTGAAGTACTTATATTTACAATAGACAACCATATTGATTATTAATTTAACAATGAAACAGAATAAACAAATTGAATAACAAGTGTTATGCAGGACGAATAAAAGGTCATCTTATACAGGGTGATTCGCCAAGAATGCTCACCTCCTTTGTTTTTCGACAATGCAGTTATTTAGGAACTATGGGATTTTTGGAATTTCTAAATAATCTTAATGACCATATTTTAAATTCACGAGATATTTTGTACTTCTTAAGGAGTGTCCTGTGGTTATAAGACTTTTGTTTTTAAAATGAAAACTATAAATTATGTAGTGGATAATTTTTCTGAAAAACGTGCCGTATCAGAATCAACATTCGTACTAGTAGCTTTTTAGTTAATAAGATAGGTTATGGGTGTACACGAGATATGGGGGCTATGGTAATTTGAAAATTATAGTCACTAATATTAAATCTTTTTGCAAAACCATTCTTAAGTACTATTACCCTTTGTACAACAATTTTCATAGCTAAAAAAGTATTCATTCGAATTTTGAATGTGGCACATCGAAATCTTCAAGAAAAATATCAACTAAATAATTTATGGCAATGAAAGGGGGGTTTTCCTTTGAAAAACAGAAGCTTATAACTCCATAGCACACTCTTTAAGTAGTGCAAACAATTACCTACAAATGAATAATTTAACAATAATAAGTCTTGACAAAACATTTTCCGAATTTTCTCCCCAAATGGATACCCACCATAGCAGAATAAACTGGTGGTTCCTTACTCCTCCACAAAAAAAAGGTTGGTTTTCATTTTTCTCTACATCGTTGTCGACTAAAATTATGTCTATTTCCTTCCAATACTTTGGCTATTTTTGTAGCATTACGTTCCTCAGTATGCAGATAGAGTAAGACTAGGATCAAATTTTGCGCTTATCGGTTGATGATTACATTCTAGTATTGGCCATCTACATCAGCTATCAAAAAAAAAACGCTAGTCCGAGTGTCCGACAGCAGTCGCAGTTTTTAACAGTCGATAACTCAATTTTTGTAACCTATAATCACAAACAAATATAATATTATAATCAATTTTTTTTTTTTATTTTTTAGGAAAACGGACAGTGGAGGAAAACGGTCTATCGTTTTTGGAGGAAATCGGCAACGGCCGAATAAATTCAGTGCCGGTACCTACAACTAATACTAGATGGATGATAATGCTTTTAAATAACACGTAGACACGTGTTGTTATAGTTCAAACGACCTGTTGTCTCGGTTGGGTTGCGGCGCAAAGTGGGCACCTTAAATGTAAATATCATTAAAGGTTTCGAAATACTTTATAATACGTTAAACGCGAGGGTCATTATTCATATCAGGTAAGCGTGAATCGTGTAAAAACGTCCGGCGGATAATCGCGAACTGTTTAACCGTTGTTATAATATTGTTATTTCACATGATTCGTGTTGTAATTAAAACGTCCCATTTAACGTTTCAGCACGACAGTATATCGACACCAAAAACAAAGTCGTCGATACTATTATAATATTCGAAATCGGAATAAAATAAATTATTAACCGCCCAGAACCGCGATAAGATCAATGTTCTTAAGATTTTTACGTCTTATTCCAAACCTATGTGTTTGAAAAATTATAAATTTTACAATCAAAAATATAAAAATGACATAAGGGTCATGTCGTGTAAACGTGTTGATCTGAAATAAACTTTTTTGATTAAAAGTCAATAAAAAATACAATTTATAAGATTTTTTTTGTTGACATTCAAATCTTACGAGGTAAAATAATATTAATTATAGTTTTAGTACAAGTACACCTTAATTGCAATTAAATTTGCAATAATATTATAATATTGAAGCCCATAAAGTAT